CTGTCAGATTTTATTATTCTCAATTCCATTTAGAAAATTAAAAAATGCATCATGGGTTTGGCTTTTAGTGCTTTTTGTGACTGATAAGCGTTTCTTCAGTGTTATTTATGAGAACCCCAGAAGCATCAGACAAAACTAAGATGTTTCAATTTCATTTTCGTCTTAATAGGATTCCGTAAAAAGTGTCTGGATATTTATGCAGCTAATGAGACATTTTGTCATATCCTGATTTTTGACATTTTTACAAAGGACATGGCTTCATCAGCATAAAAAATAAATAATATCAAAGTGCAGCAGGACAGCATGGTGTCTCAACAGGCTGAATCACACCTCCACAGTGGGGAGGGGGTGTGTAGTTTGCTTGAGTGTACTTGGGTGCATAATGTGGGGCCCATTTTTCATGTCCCCACAAAAGATCTGTGACCACAATCAAAAAGCGAAAATATTTAGTTTGGTTACTTACGGTTAAGGTTAGGGCTGGGTAGGGGTTAAGGTCGTCATGTTGGGATTAGAGTTTTCCCCATAGAAATTAATGGAGAGTCCCCACAAAGATATAACTAAGAAAAAAAAAGCTAAGTGGATGACGTGCTTTTACTAAACTCAACACACTTTTAAAATTAAGAATAACTTTATTGATCCCAGGGAGAAATCCTTCTGTGTACAGAAGCAAGTGTGCAGAACACAGATAAACATACATAAATGTGCAAAACAGGGAAAGTGCAAACAAGCATACGTGGCACACGCAAACTAAAAAGTGCACAGTGCACAAATTAACTATTCTGGAAAACAGAACTTAGGAACTTTACCTTTAACTCAAACCTTTAGGGTTCTCTTTCAGAAAGAGAACTAACTGTAAACCAATAGAAAATAAAGCAGTGTCCCCCCCCCCCCCCCCACACCCCCTAGTACAATAAGTTTCAATGTGGCTGTTTAAGAAACAGGCTATGGGCGAAAGCAGAGCCCGTGCGTTCTGAATCCCGCTGTAAATGCAAGCAGATGTCTGCGTTTGTGTGACAGACGTCACCAACATGCCAGGCTCTCACGTTTAGCCTCTGGGGCAGACGTGCCAGTCAGAACAGCAGCTGCTTGGGCATGACTGCACACGGTATGTGTTACGTGGGATCAGAATTAAAATAGCGAGTGTCACATATTAGCAAGCATGTCGTCTGCAGCAAGCTGGACAGGTTATTGGAAAAACGTCGGCTTTAAGTCTGCTGTTCTGAAGGCTTACTGAAGGATTTCCCTGATACCCTGAAGCTAGGATCCGAGTCACCATGCATAGTACAGTATTTATGGACTGTTCAGAGTGACATCTAAGGCTAACTACCCTCCATTACATTACAACCGACAGCCTGGCGGCCGGCAGGAGATGGGGGACCGGGACTGTCAATCATTACTTCCAAGTCCCGCTACATACAGACTGAGCTGCTATGTTGGATTCCCACATTATCCAAAGAGGATGACCCACTTTGGAGGATCCCCGTTTCCCACTGGAAAACAGCATCGCCACTGCAGCACTGGAAAGCCCCAAGGTCCACAGGAAACTGTCCATTAAAACTAACAGACAAACAACAATATTGTTAGGTTTTTGGAGTTGTTAGAGTTACGCAATATCGGGCAACAGCAAACAATAAAGACGCTGTAATTCTTTAATGCGGCACGGACAGTGTGGAATGCGGCATGGACACTGATCATTTATCAAAGTATGGTCCACATCATTTTTGGGTGTCCGGTGGCCTTCCACAATGCCTTGACAGATTTGTGGCCCATCGCGACAACTCCCGCTGGTAAAACGAGTTTCTGTATATCAGAACCCCCTTTGCGTGCATAAAAGACACGGTCAGTGCTCCCATTTAAACCAAGAGCCTGCAGAGACACTACAGATGCCACATATGTTGACTTCCACTGGTGCTGATGGGCCTCGTGAATAGCCAGCGCCCTGCAAGGCCTTCTCAATAGCGCGATGTAACCTTTCCTCAAAGGCTGCCTGTTGGACGTAATTCTGTATCGGTTAGGTTCTTCTGAAACCAAAGGTCACCGGGATATGTTTAAAGCCCTCACTGAGATCTGCCATATGCAAGGGAGAACTGAGAAGTGTTTAAAGCCAACTTTATAGGATTGTTCATCTCAAGCCGGCATGTCCCATCTCACATACAGTACATTTGCAAAACAATATAGCATTATAAATCAATCCTACAAACACAAAATTACATTTCTTGCAATACAAAAGTGTTTTATAGAATATTCTTCACAGCACTATGCAGATAGTATATAATGGATACATTCATTTTGGAGAGGATAGCAAAACCATATTCTAGACAGACCATAATGATCACATTATCATTTACATATAGTACTCAGATGTAGAGAACACTTTAAATTAACTTTACTGCCTGAAAGCTTGAATTTAAAGGCTGTAAAGTAATTTGCTGTGCTCGCTCATCAGTCAGAACTCTCAATAAATACATTGACTACAATCTGCCTACTTTGTTGGATTATCACCAGAAGAAGCCTGACGGGGTCACCTTAGGAATTACTGTCCTGAGAAACATTACTGAATCCTTATCACTTACGGAAGATAAGTACTACTTTGCTATTAAGAAGAAGTTAAGAATTAAGTTATTTAAATGGATGCAGTATTATCAATAGATAGTATTCCTCATTTCTATTAGCGTTACCATCAATAGATACAAGTCATTTGCAATGTTGCATTATTCCCGGTTGTTATTACTGCTTTGATATGTTTTCACAATCTGACACATGACCACTTTGCAGCAAAACGACATGTGAGTATAAAACAGCAGGGTGGAGACTGTCTCCCAACAGACCACCAGGATGTGGTAAAAGCTTCTCCTGTCACCGCTGCAGGATCTCGGTTGACATCTGAGCATATATTGGTTCCTGTCGACTTCTGTCATTTTCTATGAGTTACAACGGAGCCACTTCTGTCACTGGATGCATCTGTACACAATGTAGTACTTTACTGTGTGAATCTTATGGATATGAATAACACATTTGCTTATTTATAAAATGGATGAGACGGAGTAGCTAGGTGATTTTGTGCCATTCATCTGTGACACAGAAAAACTGGATCTCTTCCAGGGCAGAAGAAACAAGATTATCTCACCTTCTAGTATTATATTTATAAATGAAAATGTGGGGCAATCTCAGACTCACAAATATACAATTCATATTGATGCTTTCTGAAATTGAATAATACATTTGTGTAGTGTTGTTTATGCAATCAGGGCCATCACCTTGATAAGTGGTTTTGGGAAATGAGAGCTGTTCCATGCATTCTTTATATGTGAGATAGGTAGTACTTTCATTTGTCTTATTAATAAAAGACCATCCATCCATATTTTACCTGCTTATCTGGGTCAGGATTGCCTGAAGCCCACCCCAGGTAATATAGGACACAAAGCTGGGGTAGACCCTAGACAGAAGGCCAGTCCATTGTAGGGCACCAACAGTCACAGGGACAATAGAGAGACAGCAGACAGTGTAACTGCATGTTTCTCAATGCAGAAGGGAAAGCCACACAAAAGCATGCAAACCTCATTCTCACAAAGAGCAGAGGGGGATTCCCAGAGGCACCTATGAGGTGAAGAATGCAGTATATTTCTATATAAAATGTAAAAATTATATTTTAATTTGTCCAATAAAATGTTACCATTTGCAGCCCCTCTGCAGTTTCTGGATGTGTTTTTTCCTGCACTCTCATACATGCTTAGTGTGATGATTACTTACACATCATCCTTCAATGGCCAAGGTTTGAGGAAACTAACTAATTTAACTAATTTATGTACCTAAAGCTTTCAGTTGCTGCAGTCGGTTTCTGAGGAAACCTAAATATTATATTTACTTTTATCCAAACTTCAGTTGTATCAAACAATATTTGGGAATTGTAAACAGTATTTGGGGATACCCCATAGGCAAGTCATTCTACTATAAAGAAGAATGGGTATGACTACAGATACAGAACTGCAACAATACAATCTCAAACCAGTTCTATTAATTCCTAAGGCAAATGCCGACAGTTAATCAGCGTCAGTTTTATAAGACTGAATTATTTTGCCATTTCTACAAGTAGGTTGACACAGGAATTCTTTAATTTTCTGGCATCCCAAATTACCTTCCTATGAGACATACAGACAAAGGTAAGAGCGAAGTGTGGGATACAAGCACAGGCTCAGCTATGTATGAGGTACAAGCACAGGCTCAGCTACGTATGGGATACAAGCACAGGCTCAGCTATGTATGGGATACAAGCACAGGCTCAGCTATGTATGGGATACAAGCACAGGATCAGCTATGTATGGGATACAAGCACAGGCTCAGCTATGTATGGGATACAAGCACAGGATCAGCTATGTATGGGATACAAGCACAGGCTCAGCTATGTATGGGATACAAGCACAGGATCAGCTATGTATGGGATACAAGCACAGGCTCAGCTACTGTATGTATGGGATACAAGCACAGGCTCAGCTATGTATCCGTCTGAGCAGTTTTATTTGCTCCAGGCTCCCATTGTGATAAAAACACTCTGCCAACCACATGATTTGCACCCACCATTCGATCACAGACACTAACCCACTTATGTAGCCTACTTCTATGCCCATTTAATCTGAATATCAGTAATAATTTTTCCTGTCTGCAAAATCAATCACATTTAAGTACAACCTTACATCTTTTAAATTAAGTCAACTGTATAGCAATATTTCATACTTAACGCATAGGTTTCAACATAGCATTAAATGGTACAGTGCAAAAATAGTTTTATCCGGTCTGCAGTTCGATAATAAAACAGCTACAATTCATCGTGATCTTTTTGTTAGTTTAGGTAACAGAAAAACACCATCCGCTTCTGTGCGCGCATGTGGTCTCGAAACCCAGCTGGAGCATGCGCAGAGCGAGGTCCAGCCGAGTTCTCCCGAATAATACAGACCCCGCTATACAGCACGTTTATTACGGAAAAATGTAACAGAGCTACTTACTCCCGATATCCGGCCGAAGTTTCTTGTCATACTCTTTCAGTAAATTGTTCAATATTTGTGTCGCGTCTCTCTGTTGAGTTTTGGGTGCCAGCATTTGGTTTACTGTAACATCTTCATATTCCTCTTCATATTCGAGGGTCTGGGAACTACAAAACAGAAGTCGTTTAATATTATTTTAGTAGCTGTGTTTGTCATTCAGCAATGATGCACACCTTAGTTTAATGACAGAAAGTAAGAGTACGAGAATGAGACGAGGCAGGCTGCCGACCCAACCCAAGATATATTTTTTTAACATAAACTTTTCCTGTAATCTCTCTCTTCAAAGTACAACAAAATAGAACAACTCACATAATCTACGCCAGAAGCAACATTTGTTAAATTATGTTGCATTTGCTGTACCAACTATGGACTATGAGATAACGTAGTTTTGTGTGGGGAGACCTGTTATATCAATAAGCTTATTAATAAACATCATTGTTGCTGTTGTTTAAACCCTTCCTGATAAGATTTTTGTTGTAAGACTTGGGCAATTGCAAAACGTATTATTGAGAACCAATGGTCTGTATTCAATCTGTGAATGAAGTAACAGATTTATTAATAATTATATTAATTAATTTGTATGGATAAAATGTGAAATAACATGCAGTATTAAAGTTTTAAAAGGAAACAAAACAGATATCGCACTATATATATATATATATATATATATATATATATATATATATATATATATTAATGTTAACTAACGCTGCTGGCACTGTTTGCGAGAAAGCAGTGGTTCGAATAAAATCACAATTTAACACTCAACTGTAACCGCAATATCACTCACCGCGTAGAGCAGATCGACAAAAGTAGGAAATAACCCAGCACTCTGCTTGTCATGTTCGTTATAGCAGGAATCCACAGTTTAGTGTTACACGCAGTGCGAACGTAGTGCTGAGGATCTGCTAAAAATTATTACACGGCAGTCTAAACTACCAACACTTGTTATTGTAAAACAGATGCAAAATATCAAATGCTTCATAATCCACGTGAAAATGCTGCATTCGCGTCTGGCGACGGTGTGGCATTTCGAGCTGCTATACCGAGCATCCTCACACGTATCGCCAATTGTCTAAAATTAAAGACCACCCCCGTTCCTCAAAGTTGGACTTGCCACCCTTGATTGCACGGCCAGATGCACGGACATACTGACGTTTACAGAAGCAGGTAAACCTCTTAACTCTTTCCCCAAATGTTTTCCCTTATCTATCCTGTTATACGTATTCTGGGGTGAAAAAAGTCAGAAAACTGGACGAATTTATTACTCGTATTGCGCCTTTTCTCTCCTGTCGCCCCCATTACATTTCAAGTAGCGACTAAGATCACACCCTTTCAGAAATAAGTAGTAATTATTATGTCCGATGTGTTTAGTTTTTCTTGACACATTTGCTATCTAGTCTTTCTCGGTTTTGTCTAGATAGATCCTGCAATATAACTGCCGTAATGTTCTAATGTGGGCAGTTAACACAGTTAACGGATCTCAGTGTCTTGGGAGCTCGTGTAGACGGGGTGTTGGATAAAGAAGTCGCCAATTTTTTTCCATTTAGGTGTTCTTCTGTATGCACTCATGCAATTAATTGTTTCATTCTACATTTATTGGTTTGGAATTTCTGTATTAATTATGCTAATAAACAAATCAATCACTTGTTCACAGAAAATTTCAATACATAAAGCTGAATTCGAAATATTAAAGCATTTAGGTCTATGTAATTCATAATAACATAGCTATTAAATACAAACCTTATGCCGAAATAATTATTTCTGCCTGTCTTCCACAGATATAAATTTTGATAAGCCTATGTAGTCTCGCACTAACGCAAGAATGGTTAAGATGGACTGTTAGACATTATAATAGTTTAGAAACTGATCAGTGTTATTGGCAGAAAAGATTGATGAGGAAGCACGTTAAATACAGTATGAAACAGGTTCTTACTTGGTAAACTATCCTCTCGTGATTCATTGGGGTAAAATCAATGGCAACACGACGATCTTCCGTTGACCACTGAGACTTGACTTCGAGATTGAAACTGTTTTAATGTGCACCTGTTTCATATTGATTTCCGCGTCTTCCAGCCCCCCACCGATCCGAAGTTTTCTCCCCAGAATCCCCAGCTGACCGAGCAGGCAAGCATTCGTCAACATCATGGGGGCACGGGAATTAAAAATCACGAATAGTCTGCAGAGTACTCGATTGTTTGCAGGATTGTACGTGAATATGCACAAATGCAAAACGGCAAACGTTTATAAACCCCCTTTAAGATTCATCTTGTCCGAATGGGATTCCCTCACCCTTCATGGATAGAAAAAGAAAAAAGGGCAGGAATATAGATTGGGAAAACTCGAGACTTATTTCTTAATTCCCAATAGTTTCCTATTAGAAGAGTTTTCTTAAAACTACTAGAAAAGGTTTAACAAATTCTTATTTACATGTTATTTCTTTTTCCTGAAGATTAAAATGTAGGCTCAAATGCTTGTTTGTATTGTTTGTTGACAACAAGTCTATCACAGTGTGCGCCATAGAAATAATAGTTACGGTAGTTATTAATTTTTTGTTTGATTTTTTTAAAACCAATTATTGTCTTTCTGGTCAAGCACAAAAGCAATGTATATATTTTGTTTGACTTAAAGGCATTACAAATGAAAGGGTCTGCAATGGTGTATATTGTAGCGACTTCACATAATAGTTTATTGAGCATAATTCACCATACTATCAAGTCTATGTTGTTCATGAAGGCTTGATACCTAATCTGTAATTGGCTATCTGTACCTTAACCCGGGTTGTGATTGACCTATTAGAATCGGTGCTCATCTTCACGTGATGGGATGTTTCGGGTAAGATACTGCCTTTTCTCTCTTTGCTGGAGCCCCGTCTTTTCTGCTGCAAGTTAATAAAAGAGAGTGACGTGCGTCACTGTTAGTGAGAAATTGCCCAAGGTTTTATTTCCAATTTCTACAATATCCTAAATAAAGCTTTAAAAATAAAACTTTAAAAATCAACATGGAAATCGAATAATATGAGGAATTATAATATATATAAATATATATATATGACATATCAAACTACAGATTCACAGATTTAGACCTCTAGTTTTGAAAAAAACAGAGGTAAATTACTTTTATTGTATATTTCTTGCTGTCATGAAGGATGCTAATATATATATATATATATCTGAGAATAGGTCAACTATATTACCATATTTGGTAATAATGCAGCTAATCTTGAAGGTATTGTCCTGAAAATGGGCTCGTCTGTTATATCACGCTAAAGTGACAGACGTTTTACATTTATTCCAGGTTTCAGAGTGGCGACATCCTGTTAATTTTCTCAGAATCATCTGCTGAATATGCACAGTATGACGAGCTGTATGAGACCACTAATGGAATTCAGCCTTTCATATCATATCAACTGTTGTTATTGTGTGACTGAATGAAGAGACGACCAGTCCACCTGTGCTGGCAGGACCTTCGTGGGTTAATGCTTTTCTGCTCCTGGTGAAGTACGTGAAATCAATGCAGAGAAGACTAACACCCAGCCAGGGCTGAAAAAGTAACCAACCACAAATACTCTCGTTACTCTAACAGAGTAGGGTTTCTTTCTTTCAGAATTTGTGCGTGATTATCTGCTGTGATGTGACCGTCCACTGGGAATCTGCCTCATACCAGCAGGGGCAACCAGGACCACGAAAGCTGATGGTAACTGTGATGTCCACACAGTGCCAACAGGATGCAGATGGTGGCTGCTAATTGCTCCAACCAGGGTGCCGGGACTGATTTAAACCCTGTGTTGGGGAGAAGGTCAGGGAAGAGGAGAACAAAAGTATAAATTAGTTGTTTACACTTTATCTGAGCCTGCAAAGAGACAGCATGGAGAATCACTGGCCTAAATGGAGTGCTATCTCCCAGCTGACCCATCTGAAGAACCCATCCTGGCCCGTCTGATGGAAGAGGTTCTTCCCCCTGATTGGCTGACCACAGCTCCTTGGTCATCCCTTGTTCCTTAAATAGACCCCCAGGGACCAATCTCATTCCCCCTTGCCTGCCACAACTGCATTCTAATGGTTTTCCAGTGGAAAAATGAATCAGGCGTTGTATGATGCATGTTTCTGACAGAGGCCCAAAGCCAACCAAATACTGCTAATTCTGTCAATCAAAAGTCACCAATTATATTGAAAGTGCCGTATGCGGAGTCATAAAAGAATTTGGACAGATAAGATGTTGACAAGTAATCAAGACTGTGTACTTGAGGAGAGTTGTAGCTAGCAGTAAATATGCTGGTCGTGGTGACAGCTTCATGCTTTCAGAGGGCAAACCTCAGCTGCTGGCATCTTGAAATCTGTTCTTCACTCAGTAAAGAGGGTTTCAACTTTAGTTTAGCATTGAAAATTAAGACTGGGGCTGGAAAAATGGAGGTGGGTGACTGGGACATTGGACAGAATTATTCCAGCCCTGATGGCAGCTAGAGAGAGAGTTTTCATAGCTGTTACTGATGCAGGTGATTTTGGGGCTGAGGGGAAGACAAGGTGTCTGTGAACATCATATGATTTTATTCCTGTCTTAGAGTGTGAGGCAACTCTAATCAGTGGCCCGATGTAACCCCCCATCCTAAATGTTAGCAAATGAAGAAATTATGTGGTACTACAGGAGTGATTATCATTGGTGCTGCATCTCTGTCCTGTGAATGTAACGCAGAATCCTTGGAAACCAGCGTCCCCCATGCGGAGCCCACAGGGATCGCAGACACGAGACAGAAACTGCAGTGCGAAGCACCAGCCAGGGCCAGTGAGCCAAAAAGTTGGAGGTTAAGGCAGGTACACATTCAGACAGGGGACAGCTGGGACAAACATGATCAGGCTGGGAATCGGAAGCATCACACTCACCAAAACACCCACGTAGACTGTCAGGGTTCAAGAATAACACTTAACACCTACTGTATGCATGTGACAGTTCCTCACACTAAGACACTGGTCAAACCAGCTATATAGCTGGGATAATCACGTGCCACTGCAAGTACGCGAAGGAGAGCGAGTGTCATAAACTGGAGACCACAGGATGGACTAAACCTGTTGGTGACACCAGCACCTCTTCCAGTAGCCACCCAGATTTCCTAGTTGGTCTCCCACCCAAGTACTGGTCAGGCCCAAACTGGCTTAGCTTCAGATGAATCACCTAGTCTGAACTGCAGGCAGGTCTGTGTCTCTGGTATGTCTGCCTGTGTTTCACACTCAAGCTGTCAAAACCAGTTTAATAACCAGGGATTGACATAACTGGTACGCAAGTACGCAATCACCTTTAAAAGCGATACAGTACGTGCGGCAATCGATTGTTGTAACAGCGTGAATGCGTACTGTATGTATTTTATGTGCATTTATGCCAATATGACAAGAAATTATTGTGCATTTTAACCTCTATATGCTAATTCGTACTTCATTTGTGGTATAGAGGTTAAAATGCACTATAATTTTGGCACAAATGCACATAAAATACATATGCATTCACGCTGTTACAACAATCGATTGCCGCACGTATCGCTTTTAAAGGTGATTGCGTACTTGCGTACCAGTTAAGTCAATCTCTGTTAATAACATACTTATCAAATTAAGGGAAAAAAATCTTTAAAAAACAATATTTAAATGATCGTCTTAAAAATTATTCAAGTTGAATTGTAATAAGGGATGATAAAGGAGATTTAAATCAAGTTTTCAGGGATTGTGTATAAATTCATTATGAAACCCATAAGAAGCAGAAGGTCGTTCTCCATTTTGATGCCTTGCAGTCCAACACTTTGCATTTAACATTGTGGCAGCTACAATGGGAATGGAAGTTCAGAGGCTGAAGACCAACATTTCCAGCTAGTCCTCCATTTCTGTAAAAAACAGATCACTTGGTTCTCCACTGTTTCACAACAGGCCAAATATCTCCCAGAAAGAACTAATCTGATACACCAAGAGTCCTAATTTACTTCTCACAAAAATATTCTGGTGCTGCTCTGACTGTTAATTATGTTTGGTTTCTGAAATCTAATTGACAGCTTAAAATTAGAATACATAATAGACCCACTGCAGTTGAATACAAATTTCAAATGGAAATGGTGACAGCATCAGTTCAAAAAAAGGTCTGTTGCTCTGCAAGGAAGACTTGATGTGTAATTATTTCCAGACTTACAAGAATGTCAGTTTTTTTTCTTCTTTTTTTACTACGAAACCAGCCAAAATACACCAGACCAGTCCAGCTGAGACAGTTTCCAGAAGGAAGAGCACACAAGGATTAAGTCTGAATTAGATTATGTTCTTTGCTCTTATGGACCAGGGAAAAAGAGCTTAGGCTTCTTTATCACAGCTAAAAAGACACTGTATCTAATAGTAAACCATTCA